TGAAGCTGGCTAGGGTTTGTTATGATGTGAGAAAGATGGGTTCTTGATGCTGGAATTTTGAATTTTGGGGAGGTAAAGGTGCGACGATGGATGTCTTTTGGGCCTCAGTGAAATCCTTTCTCATAGTTAAAAGCATCTCAAACAGGTTTGATATGATTGGGAGGGGTATTTGAAAGTACCTTTTTGTTCCGTGATCACCAAGTTGCCCATCCAAATATTAGGAAAAATTTTCAAAGTTGTGGACATGAGCAAAAGTGATGTCAAATTGTTTCATCTTTGTCATGTTATAAACAATACATCTTGCAATTCAATTCGTTCATGAAGTCCATCTCGTGTTGGGAGGATCCCCTTAGCATTCACTACTAGAAAAAAAAAAACTGAATTTATTGGATATATTCCAACTCCATAAAGATTTATGTATCCCTTCTTCTTCCCCAGTTCTAGAAGACTAAAATGAGATGACAATGATGTAGATAATATAATAAACGATATTTGGAAAAAGTTAACTTGTACCTGAATTTCCTATTGTTTACCCAATGTTATATACCCTCACTAGTAAAACTATTCACTTAAATACCCTAAAGCTTTAAAAAGTTGTACTTTAGTACCCTCGGTAGTGCAAACGTAATAACTCCCCCGCAAAATCCTCATGCAATGCTCGCATGCTATTTTAGAATATTTCAACCCTTTTTCCCTGCTAAATCTATTGTTAAGCAAATCAAAATTCTAGTTCAAAAGCATCTTAAGTCTATCTCGAAATATGAATTTGCTAGGTTTAACAATAGATCACTTAACAAAAATAAGGGTTGAAATATTTTGAAAATACCATGTGAGTGTTGAATGAGAATTTTCGGGGGAAATTCTCATGTTTGCATAACCAATGGTACTAAAGAGCAAACTTTTGAAACTCTAGGGGATTTAAGCGAAGAGTTTTACAGCCGAGGGTATATGTGTGCAATATTAAGTAAATAATAGAGTACTTAAGTGTAATTTACCCTTAAAAAGGTTAGTGCGTGTATAGAACAAATGATTCTAGGCACTGTAATAAGCAAAGCTCCTTTTCTCAACTAGCATCCTTCTAGTATTTATTATAATTTTGTGTCAACTCATTTTCTGCCTCTGAACAAGAAAAAAACTAAAACCTTCATCATCAATGAGCTTCTCTACTCTGCTGCTGCTAAGCTCGTGCCGAGAGCCAGTGTAAGAGCATGAACTTTTTCTACATTTTTGCTATTTTGCTTGTTAAGACAAAGGGAAAGGTGTATCATGCGTCTTCATCGTGTGTTCTGACATATACTGATTTCTTCATTGTCTACAATACCATCCGAGATTGTTTCTTATGCCATCGATTGGATCGGTGGAGATGTGCATCTGCATAGAGGACTGGTCTTGTGCAAAAGTCCGGGTCTAAGAACGATGTACAAGAATGAAAAATTTTTGAAGAGTGAAAAACATTGAAAAGTGAAGATCAAAGAATCTTTGGAAAATTTGAAGTTTTGGGTCATATGATCAAATTGTGAATACTATACAGCAAGAAACTAATAAAATGAGACGGTGAAATAAAATTCTTATCGTGAGCTATGCTAATAGGTTGTCTGATATGACGATTGGAACAGTGATTTGCATGTCACATGATCTATATGTAGGGGTGCATTCGGTCCGGATACGGCTCGGATATGATGCTTACCATATCCATATCCGCTTACCAATCTCGGATACGGATACGGATACGGATATACCTCGGTAAGAAAAACTTATAACCATATCCGCTAAAATCGGATACGGTTACAGATATACATGCGGATATATAAGCGGATATGCATGCGGATACAAAACAGATATGAGAAAACTAGATAGTATTGAGAAAAACATAGTTCATGTGATACAAAAAAGTTCGTTAATATGTCCATTATAACTAAATAGTTAAGATTAGTCATCTTGATCATCAAAATTAACCACAAATCCTTAATCTAAGAATCGAAACTATCATAAGAGTATGACTAATATGTATTCGGATATTTCGGATACGGATACGGATATTTTACTACAAAACCATATCCATAACCATATCCTATCGGTTATAGATTTGAGTAACCATATTCGTATCCTAACGGATACGGTTACGGATATTTCATCGGATACGGATACGGTTTAGCACCCCTATCTATATGTAAAAAATTTAGCACAGTAATTTGCATGTCACATGATCTATATGTAGAAAAAACTATGTCAATTAGTAAATTTGAATCATTATTTTATTTATATGCAAAAAACGATGGCTATTAAGCTGTTTAAAAAATCAACATATTAAACTAGTTTGATTCATACTCTGGAAGACTCAAAGCTATATATAAATTTCTTCAAAATTATTAATTTGATGATGTTTTGAACAAGATGTATGGTAACAATTATGAATTTGATGAGCCGATTAGTCTAGCTGCCGATAGGATTTGAGCTCACTGTCTCACAATATCATCACTCTTTCATTGTAATACGATTTTGTTAAAGAATTTATAACTGAATTCAATTTTTATACATTTATAATATTGTATGTCAGAATAGTCAATAACTTATTCTCTTCAAACTTTATCTCATTTTTGTCTATATACCATTATAAATTTTTATAATTAGCTGTTTCATTTTTTTTAAAATCATGTGTTACACATATTTGGTTTGTCTCAACACGGGGAACCTTTAGCCAGAGGCAGGCCAAGTGGTCAACGTTTTGAATCTTGTTTGGCTAGGTTCCTTTACGTCTCATTTGGTACACGAGAATGGATGCATATAGAATGTTCATTCTCACTTCTCATTCATATATGTGAAACATAATATTTTTTGAAAGCTAGAAAACACATTTACACTTCCCGTTTATCCTTACATTTTGAGAGAAACTCACCTAGCTTCATCGGAAAAAAAGTACTTAAGTTACATTATCGCCCTTGTCTAAACAAACAATCCCTCGGTCACTAAAAGCGAACTGGTTATTTAGATATTAGTCTCTCATATCTTCAATAACTTCATATTAGTCCCTCAAATCTATGAACTTGCTCATTAGTCCCTCAAGTCCTAGAACTTGCTCATTAGTCCCTCAAGTCCTAGGGTTATTACAATTAGGTCTCTCAATGACCAGAATATCCTTAGTTAATATTTTTTAATGGCTATTTACAATTTGATATCCTAATATTTACACCTCTTTTAACTTTGATACCCCAAGTTTTTCTTTCACACTATGATGCCCAAAAGTTTAATATTATTGTCACTTTCGTACCCTAAAGGTTCCATATTTTTAACTTTAATACTTCGAAGTTGAACTTTTTAACTGTGATACCCTAAAGTTTAGAGTATCAAAGGGTCAAAAATAATTTTTGAGTGTCGAAGTAAAAAATGTATAAATTTTATTGTAACAAAAGGGTTAGGAAAATTTTTAGTGTATTAAAACTAAAATAAATTATAAACTTTAGGGTATCAAAGTGTCAAAAAACTTTAGGGTAAAGTTAAAAAGGTATGAATTTTAAAGTACCAAAGTGCAAAATAACCCTTTTCCTAACAAGATGGTTTTTAAGAGGGAAATCAAAACTTGGGGGTGTTTTGGTCATTGAGGGACCAAATTGCAAGATCACTTACGTTTTGAGGGACTACTGAGTAATTATTGAGATACGAGGGAGTACTGTGGAATTATTAAATATGACGGACTAATATCTAAATAACCTGAACGTGAGTTCGTAAATGACCCGCAACGTGATTCGTTGCCCACTTCCTAGTCCGAGTCTGTTTTCTTCGTGTTTGTTCAAAGAGGGGGCATTGTAGCTTTGAACCCTAGTTTTACAAGAGAGAAGAAATCGAAGAGGGAAGAGCTGAATCAATGGGTCCTGTCCAGCTTCGCTCAGATTCCGACGAGCTTCGGCCATGAGCTCAGAGCTTGTCTCCGCTGTCGACTCGTCAAGACCTACGATCAGGTCTCTTTCTCTCTCTCTCCTCCCCAACTGAATTAGCTAGGATTTTCGTACTTCATACCATCAACGCTGTGCTTTTTTTGTTAGGAAATTAGGGTTTTGCTGATTGCAACTTTTGCATTCGAATCATCCGATGCTGTTCATTTTTGAAAGAATTTACGTGAGAATGCTTCTATTTACTTGTCCGACTTATCTGTTCTTGTGACTTAGAGCATCTCCAACAGCTTCCCAATTTCCCATTTTTGGAGAATATAGTTAGGTTTTTGGTCCAACAGATTCTCCATCTCATTCTCCAAAATAGGGATGAAGGAGAAAAAATGGGGAAGCTTCCCCAAATCTGCAGCATTCTCCAAATTTTTGGAGAAAAAAAGGGATTCTTCAAAATGGGGAAGCTATTGGAGTTGGTGTAAAAATAATTTGGAGAATATGACTTTTGCTTCTTCATTTTGGAGAAAATTTTAGAGAAGCTGTTGGAGATGCCCTTAGGGTGTCTGTGAAGCTTATTTTCTGAAGTTTTTAAGCTATGTGGGCATTTGTTCGCTTTTTTATTTTTTATGATGAAAATTTATAATACTTGTGTGGGTAGAATAATCATTTACTTGGCCAAACCTAGCTTATTTAAACTAGTATTTTAACACGTGCTTTGCACGTGATGCATATTAAGTAATGATATGAGACTAAAACAATTGAAGGTCATCTCACGTTGCACTCGCCCACGATTTTTTTTAGAACAACGAAGAGGGCTTAAACAGAGCCCCTAGCCACCCACTCGCCATGAATTTATTGACATTTATATTAGTTTTTCTCTTCACGAAATTGCATGTTTGTATAACTAATAGATTGATATTTTTTTCGTAAATTAGAGGTGAAACCGGTTGCGGATCTGTTTATTTCTTCAAAAAAAGCAATACAATTTTCTCACTTAATTATCGCTTGTGAAATCTTATTGACTGCAAGGTATCCTAGTTACTATAATCAAGGGCCTGATTCCATTGTCAAAATTCCCGCTCCCAAATAAACCGGTTTTGAAGTCCCACTAGAAAAAGCTCGGATTCCTCAACTTTTGACAAACTAGCTTATAAGCTCATCTATACGACATATAAAAGAGGATTGGAGTGTTAAAACCTTTGATTTCCTCTTTTACGAAACATTATGTATTGATTCTTGAGTTCGTTAATTATTTAAGGAGAGAATTTCAGCATTATGTATTGACTCTTGAGTTCATTAATTAATTAACGCAGTGTTGTTTTTCTATTTTTGGGTGATTAAAGATAATCATTTTGACGTTTGGGGAAGTTGATCAGTGCAACTACTTGGATCCCAGGACTGTCCAGGTTGCTACAGTGGATCATGTCAAGAAAGTAATCTCTTGTCTCTGTGTATTAGCCTTAATAGCATTTTCTCAGCTCAATATTTCAATGTTGTATCGGCTTTATATTGATAATCACAATTTAGTCTGTAAAGGTTTCAACTTGATGTATACATTGCATGGTTGTTTTGCATTGAATAACTTCATAGCAAATAATTCCTAAGTCAAAGTTCAAGCTTATACATCTATTGTATTAAGATATGTTTCAATCAAAAGATTTTTCAGTTTTTATTTGTAACATCTTCGTACTAATCTTGACTAGATCCCCAAAATGACATTCTATAGCACTTCCTTACTATGCATTTATTCACTTTAATTACCATTGGTATAATATGTTATATTGCTGTTGTCATTTACTTCCCAGTTTTGGAATTTGTTTAGGTTTGTACAAAGGTGAGAGCTGCAACTGATGATGAGCTTCCTTCTTCATATATTGAGGAGTTTCGGTATGATTACATTTCAGTGACTTACATATCTAAAATAGGGTCTTCTATGATTGCATCTCCCACTTCTCTTTTTGTCTTCTTTATTTTTTGTGCCTCCGCCTTCTCCTGCTGACCTTGACCTGGAATAGTGAGAGAACACGACTAAGTTTCAACTTTTATTAGATGTTGTGTTGAGCCACCTTTGTTGCTTCAAACAGCATATCTCTAGAGTTAGGCCACTTCACATTTCATTATGGCATGTCTTCTCATATGTCTTGTGGCATGTCTTCTCATATACTCACACTTAGAATCATTAGTTTTTCAGAGTCTTTATGAGCAAGATACCTCAGGACACATCATTTTGCTTTTATTGTATATACTTGGAGAGGATGGAAATCTTTTGGACTGGATGTTTTATTTGATAGCCTAGAATTTACAACTTTATATGGAATGATTGCATAGATGTTTTGGACTGGATGACTGTATATGGAGTGATTACATGAACTTTCAACTTGGATGACTTATATTTAGATGTGAACTTAAAAGTAATTGAATTAACGTTTCCTATTTTTTGCACTTTCATGATGAAGACCACCTGTTTAGCTTTCTGTTTTTGATCTCGCTTATTTTTCTTATGCTCAGAACCGCAAACTAGGTCTTTTGGTGGCCAGTTTAGTGCCCAGGCTAGATCATAGAATTAAAGGTTAATTACATAATTTCCCCATTTTGAGAGCTTATGAAGTCTAAGCTAAACTTTCCTCAGGATATATGTATATGTTATGTATATAATTTGTTAGTAACTCAGCTTTTGTTGTATCAACATAGAACTAAAAATAAGGTGCAACTTCTAAAGTCTTAAAATAAAATTGTCTGAAGATGAAAGTGTTGATTAATTTTTCACCGTGGATTACTTTCATTACATCAATAAACTTGCCCAGAGTTGCTTATCTTGAGCTAGTTGTTAACTCACTTCATTTTGTTAAATCACAAATCATGCTTTTTTCTGACACTATTATTAGTTTGTCATGCATGAAGATCCTAAGAACTAGATAGCTATTTCTAAGTAATTATTCATGCATGATTTGCTAATTCTTTATTACTCATTCTGTGCCATTCACTTGTAGTCTTGTTTATGCATTTGTTTGTGCTATAGTAAATAGGGATTATAATCTTAGCTTTTCCGAATTCTCACTTGCAGACTTGTTCTTTGTAATTTTAAGTTCATGTTTCACTTGTAATTTATAGGGAGGGCACTTCTCACGTGCTATTCATCTTCGTATTTTTCTTTTTCTTTGTATGTGTTCTTTTCTTATTCTTGTTCTTTGTTTTAAAGATTGGGTTGGGGATTGGGGTGTTAAGGTCTAAAATGCTGGCGTCCATGAGATCACATTTATCTATCATAATAATATCAATATCCTGGGAAATAGTTTCTATTGGCAGCAATAGTTTAGTAGTTGCACAAGTGATGTAAATTATGAACTAAAATAGTTTAAGAGCATGAAATATCAGAACATCTTTTTAGAGTTGCTGCCTTCTACTGTTTGTGTTAATAGCTCCTTGTTAAATTATTGATACATTGTAGGATATTGTAGTGGTTTAAACTAACAATCATAATCCAGCTTGTTCAGATAACTTAGTTTTTTTGCCCAACATGGTAATTTTTTTTAATATTTATTCAGATTCAGATGATATTCCTAGGTTCTGTCAAAGTTGTAAGTAAAATTTTGTCTTTGGTTTGCAGGCGTGGAAGAAGATTACAAGGGATCTCGTTTGTTGTATAGAAGTGTGAGACTGTGATTCAAGGGTCATCCTCCTTTTTTCCTTCTTCAGAAGTTTCTTCTATTATTTTTCCTTTTCGGGCACTCCTTTAATTTCTATAGAATTTCAAGCTTAGTATATCAAAGATCAAATTAACTATGTAATTGTCAGTTGTACCTGCTCTGTTTATATAGGATGTTGTTTGAGTATGGCTTATGGGTTGAAATCAAGGTTTGTATAGCTACATTTTTAATGCATAACACATGGAATTGTTACTTATTTGTTCTCATATCAACTTATTCTCACTTTGAATAGGTGTGAAATATGAAACAAGCCTCAAGTATTTTTCAGCTTGGATATCTGTGAAATATGCAATGGTGATGTGTTATTTAGATGTTTTTTTGTAAGATATCTGATATGTTTATAGAGTTTTCTTCATTTTCATTTTGCTGAAAGTCTTGCAAGTTATGGTGGGTAATGAATTTGAAAACTTAGCAAATGTAGTTATCATCGCCAAAATTAGCTAAATTTGTGTTTTTTTGTTACTATTTTACACATCTCCATTGCATTTGATGTAAACAAGATGGGTTAAGGTATCCTAACACTAGATTTTGAAACCAAAGATTTCAAATACTTTCATTTAATAAAGCTATCCAAACAAAAGATTTCTTAAATCATGGATTTCAAATCTTAAATTTAAAATCTCTTGATTTTAAATCAACTTCTCAAATCCAAATCAAAGTTTCTGAATGCAGCCTTACATTTTGAGAGAAACTCACCTAGTATTTTCTAAAAAAAAGTACTTAAGTTACATTATCACCCTTGTCTAAACAAACAATCCCTCCCTCACTAAAAGCGAACTGGTTATTTAGATATTAGTCCCTCATATCTTCAATAACTCCATATTAGTCCCTCAAATCTATGAACTTGCTCATTAGTCCCTCAAATCCTAGGGTTATTACAATTTGGTCTCTCAATGACCAGAATATCCTTAGTTAATATTTTTAATGGCTATTTACAATTTGATATCCTAATATTTACACCTCTTTTAACTTTGACACCCCAAGTTTTTCTTTCACACTATGATGCCCAAAAGTTTAATGTTATTGTCACTTTCGTACCCTAAAGGTTCCATATTTTTAACTTTGATACTTCGAAGTTGAACTTTTTAACTGTGATACCCTAAAGTTTAGAGTATCAAAGGGTCAAAAATAATTTTAGAGTGTCAAAGTAAAAAATGTATAAACTTTATTGTAACATAAGTATCAGAAAAATTTTTAGTGTATGAAAATTAAAATAAATTGTAAAGTTTAGGGTATCAAAGTGTCAAAAAACTTTAGGGTAAAGTTAAGAAGGTATAAATTTTAAAGTACCAAAGTGTAAATAAACTTTTTCCTAACAAGATGGTTTTTAAGAGAGAAATCAAAACTTGGGGGCGTGTTGGTCATTGAGGGACCAAATTGCAAGAGCCCTTACGTTTTGAGGGGCTACTGAGAAATTATTGAGATACGAGGGACTACTGTGGAATTATTAAATATGAGGGACTAATATCTAAATAACCTGAAAGTGAGTTCGTAAAAGACCCGCAGCTTGATTCGTTGCCCGCTTCCTAGTCCGAGCCCGTTTTCTGCGTGTTTGTTCAAAGAGGGGCTTTGAACCCTAGTTTTACAAGAGAGAAGAAATCGAAGAGGGAAGAGCTGAATCAATGGGGAGCAGCAAAAGAAGCGATTACATGGCGGAGGAGGAGGACAGGATGGCCAGCTTCGCTCAGATTCCGACGAGCTTCGGCCATGAGCTCAGAGCTTGTCTCCGCTGTCGACTCGTCAAGACCTACGATCAGGTCTCTCTCTCTCTCTCTCTCTCTCTCTCTCTCTCTCTCTCCCCTCCCCAACTGAATTAGCTAGGGTTTTCGTACTTCATACCATCAATGCTGTGCTTTTTTTTGGGAAATTAGGGTTTTGCTGATTGCAACTTTTGCAAATAATGATACGGAATTACTATGGAAAATCAAAACTTTCTAAGTCTTTGGAATCGATCAACATTAATAGATGCGAGATACTTCATGTGCTTGACCATTGTCCAATTTAATTACTCTACTGTCTACTTGTGTCACTGTCTAGAAATACAAAGATACGAACGATGGGACAGTAGCTAGCCAACACAGAACAACTAGAACTTGGAGAAAACTTGTTAATTCAAAGTCCATTTTCTCTGTTTTTAAGGAAATCCTGAGGAAAGGTCGCTGCAGTTGTATGCCATTTAAGATATAGTTGTGTGTTAGGCCTATCAACATAATAGCATATAATAGAAATATTTGGGAATTTGCTTGGTAGGAGGCCTAGTAGGAAAAAATTGGTAGCACACTGGCACTAGTACAAAAGCCTTAATGCAGGCTTACTGAAAATGTCATTTGGATATTGGTTATATATATGGACAATGACATAAGATATGATGGTAGGTATCGTTGGAGTAATACCAAGGCATTTAAGTGATCTATGGACTTGTACAACTTTTCAGCTAGGTTTTGATGCACGCTAGGTTAGATATGAAATACTTCATGTAGTTGACCATTTTCAGCTTCCGATCAAACTACTCTAGTCTCCAGAAATGCCAAGATACGAATGAGGGGGATCAGTCAACTCTAAACATTTGGCACTTGGTACAAAACTTGATTGTTACATTATGTATACCATGAGGACTTGAGTTTTTGGTTATTTAAGAAAATCATGAAGGAAAGACATCTTGTTTGCATGCCTAGCAAGAAAAGAGTCATATGTGGGCTGAATAATGTATGAAAATATGTTGTAGAAAGATTTGAAAACTTGCTCCCAGTAGACTAAGCGAATAAAGTTTATTGTACCAAAGACATAATGATTGACTCCAGAAGAAGCCCTTTAGCTTGATGTTATGATTTTTATTGATTACATGATAAATTTTAATTACCTTTTCTGTTGTTGCATTGTTTAAATGTGTACTTACTAGGAAAATTTCTACCGGATATGTTTGTTATCTTTACATCCTATTTTTTTTGGTCACCTCTTTTTGGTACTTTCATGAATTCTTTACAGTATCCTATCTCTCAAGTCATAAGTGTTGTTTGTCATGCTTGTTTCTCTTTTGTCTTTTCTTTGGATACTCAGAAATGATAACCCCTTTTGATGGCTTATCCAGTTCAGAGAGTCAGGCTGTGAAAATTGCCCGTTCTTGGATATGGAAAAGGAGCATGATAATGTTGTCAACTGCACTACTCCAAATTTTACAGGGTAGGCCTTGATTTATATTCATGTGATTGTCATCAGTTACGCGTCAAATTTTTTCCTTTATGTGTGGAATATGATTGCATTACAGCAGATAAATGTTTTACTTGGGAAATTTCAGTGTTGGATGACTGAGATTTATTAGTGCACATGACACAATTCTGGTTGTCTTGAGACTAGCATCTTATGATGTTCATGGATAGGTTAAATGCTGTTCCTTACATCTATTTAGGTGGTCTGGTTGTTCTGTTCTCAGTACTACTGCCGCACATAAGTGAATATTTTAATATGTCAATTCAAATTAATTCTTGTGTGTGAGACTATTGACATAAGTGAATATTTTAATATCTTCATTCTAAATAAATGCGTGCGAGCCCCTGTGAATGTCATTGTCAATGACATTCAGTCATTCACTGGTGAGTATTCTTGATTTCAATATGAGATTTGGAAGTTAAAACTTATTGTTGATGTTACTTACTCAGAGGATATTTTTGTATAAGACTTGCAACTATTTGTGAAATAAGTAATAAGTAAACAAATTTTTTTTGAACTAATAGAAACAATGAAAAAATTATTGGTTCTTTTCGTCTTCAATTTTCTTCGCATCATTTTCACAATTTTCAGACACTTGATTACATATGAATTTTTTTATTTATTAATGCTAAAAATTTGTTTTTGAACCTATTAATAAAAATTGAGATTTAGTAATGTGTGCACTTAAATGTAGCAGCTTCACTTCTGGATCTTTTTTAAGCTCGTCGTTTATTTTAAGCTTGATATTTTGATAATTTTGATATGTTCCTTTAAATTAGACTACAATGTTGTAATAAAATTACAAACAAACACAGTACAATTTATACATGTTCTGGGTGCGTCGAACGAGAGAGGGACATGGGACTTGTTTCAGAGGGAAGGGGCAAGGGGTGGGGGGAAAGTATGGGAGGGGTTGATATTCAATTTCTATGTAAATATTTTATGGAAAACTTATTCTGATGACGTTTAATAATAAAGGAAAGACTTTTCTATGATAAAACTGTTTATGTGAACAAAAAACTGTTTATGTGAACAATCTACTTTAAATGTCAAGTGTATAATAATTCCTAATTAGTATTTTAGCCATGTTCGTCATTTGGCGAAGCTGTAAGATTAAGCCTTGCATATTCAATTTATCAAGAATTGAGTGCTAATGAATTAAGCAAAGTGTGCAAAGCTTCAGTTACAAATGAATGTATGTTTTGTGCAAATCTCTCCTTCAATTGCTGACTTTTCAAAAATTGTTATTGTTAGTGCTATCAACCTATATAAAAATTCTCTTTAGTGATATATGCAAAGATGTACTAGAACTCTGAAGTCTCTCTGTACTCTTTATTTGTTTAAAGGACATGTGAAAGGACATGTGAATGCATGATAGGAGGAATTTTGATTCCTTTGCCTATGATGTCCAAATGCACAGTATTTAATAATGTATTTAATAAGCTGATTATTTATGCTAAGCTCTTTAAGTAAAATGGTAGCTATGTTTATATCAGACTTCAGTCATTGTTAAGACCCTCTAAAACAACTTATTTCTTACAAACACAACAAAATTGCTCTAGATATTGAATTTTGGAAATGGGAAAAGAAATTAAGTAGACATCTCAAAGCCAAACAAGCTAGAAGTTTAGGTTATGTGGACGAAGCAATAAGAGAGCTTTTTTGCATAATGACAGTCCCCAGTTTCTTTCAGTTTGATTATCTTAATTGATATTTGCTTGTTATTGTTGTTTTGCTTTAGACATTTTTCTTTATAAGTTTCTAGTTTAAAGTAAAAGAAGGGATAAAAACTGGAGTGATCCTTGATTTCCTTGTCCACAGGATTATTTCTGTCATGGAACCAAGTAGAAGTTGGGCGGCTCGATGGTTGAGGATAGGTAAACTGTCAACCATGAATTATTTTCTGGAGCAGTAAATGTTTTGCGAGCCCAAATGGAATGTTTTTTTCAATCATACATTTTGTATTGTGTTCTTATCTTGTAAGCTCATCTTATATTTGTTTGTATAGTTTAGTACTGCTAAAGTTGATCTGGGGAACCACTTACATTTTATAATTCCTAAACTGAAGATTTGCATGTCTAGACTTTTCTTAAATTCTTTGAAAAATACCTAATCGTAGCAAAACAGCTTCACTCATATATGCTGTGTAGCACAATTGCTAGTTGAAGATTCTAGTCAACTCGTACCTACTTGGTAGCAGTTTGTGCTTGATGTTTGAAACTATATATAAACGTTTTCGGGCATCTAACTTCTTACTGTCTTACTTCTTATACAATAACATAGGCCTGACATGTTCACTTTTCTCTGGTTACTTTTGATTACATGGTTTCCTGTTTGTGTTATATTCTTCTGAAAATTGATGTTTACCCTGATAGAGACCGGCTTCCTGATTTGTGAGTAGAGTGCGTAAGTATTGAGATGAGGCATACTACATTATCAACAGTTGCTTTCTTTTCACATAAGATTGATATTCTTCTATCGGTCAGTTTTATCTTTAGATGTACTATTCTAAGCTTATCAAACTTTGAGGTAAGGTGTTCAATGTGATTTAATTACTTACTTTCTACTTTTATTTCTAGATAATGTTAGTTGAGATTTAGTTTGCAAGTAATTTTGTCTAGCGGCCAAAATTTCTTATAAGAGGAAGTTGTGTAATCTGAAATTTTCAGTTTTGCTCATTGATGAACGACTGAGAGTTTGATCGTGATTGAAACTGTGAGTTTCTTTGTTTTCCGGTGAATTTCTTCTCTCACCTCTCCTCAAAATTCTTCTGTTTCTCTGGGTTTCTTGTTTATATATCTCTTGCTCCCTATTGTTGGTATCATGGCCTTGATCCAATAGTGATATCTATACCAAGATTTTAAACCTTGAATAAAGCAGATTTTGTGTTTAATGTGTAGACGGAGTTTCACTAATGAAGTAAAGTTGGAGCGAAGCAAGTTTGCTAAAGTCAAAACGATGTTGATAGCTTTTAAATATTTAATCCTAGTTCATCATGGAAGTAACTTATAGTAAGAAATTTTCCTTGACTGGTATAGTCGAACGATATAAACGTTACATTAGATATAAAGAGACAACCCGCCATCTAAGAGCTTGTTTGCCTGCAAGATGCAACCAAGATGTACACAATAATGTGGGTCTTGGATTTTACAATTTGCCATCAAGGACCCGGTCACGTGGATGATCAATAAAAATTGTGGAGAAGAGCTTGGTTAGCCAAATTAATTCAAAAGTTCCTCTGCAGCATGTTACATTAGATTAAATTTTAGGAGAAATCATAATCCTTGTAACAATAACAGAGAAACCATTGCATATGAGACTTTTACTTGTAGAAAGGTCCTAAATATGTCTTAACTCTTTTGTGGGATCAATTTTATCTTATAGGCGTGCCTCTAAAATTTCGGCGGTTTATACCATGAAGTTTGTATTGCTCTCTGCAGGGATAACCAAATAGTTCAACAAAATTCTGAGCATTTAGTTATATCAAAATTAAATTTGAGAAATCATGCGCTTTATACAGTAACGGAGAAAATATTTTCACACAAAGCATTTGCTTCTGGAATGGTACTAAATATTCGCTTTTGTGGGATCAATTTCACTTGAAGTTACACTTCTAACCTTTTGTTGATGCGTGAAATATTTGTTGCCATCTGCAGGACGGTTTATCCCTGGTTGTTATACACTCGCAGTCTCTGAGGACCTTCCTGAGGAATACCAGGTACATATCCTGACCTTAATTATTCTCTCTCTTGCAATGGCGTTTGAAATCTTACGACTTGCTTACTTCGAATGCAGAACATTTGTGCTGACAACAACGTGCAGTATGCCCCTCCAAAGCGCACGTGAAGATCTCAGTTGCGTCCAGCCCTCATTTGAGAAACCCGTTGCAGTTTTTTGATGTTAGCCTATATATGCATATATGTTGTACTCTTTATTATGAATCAAGCGGCATCATTGTAACTCGTCCTTGAAAGGCAGATATGATGTTTTTAGTACTAGTCACTAGTTGTGCTTCAGTTTGTACGTTTGACCGAGTTCAGACGCATTTTTGCTCGCACACTTGTGTTGATGGTTTTCGGTTGACAGTTCATATCTGAACCGTTTGGGTTGATGCCTCGTATTCTGCTTAGGTACACAATTACTCTTTTAACCTTTCGAGTATTGCTTGGAAATGGGTATGAATTTCTGCGACTTGATTTTGAATTACGAAGGAGCCCTCTGAATCTGCAAAGGACTTGCGTCGCTGTTATGCAAGAATGGGGTACTCAATCTCAGCTTGATTAGCAATTCAAGGGGAAAGATCGGAGGAAAATTTAAACTTAGGCGAGGTAGCTAATTCTCTAGTTAAGTTTATTCTTATTAGTGGGGTCCATAATTTCTTTAAACCTTTCATTGAATTTATTTGATCTATTATACGGGAGATTCAAGGAGCTAGTAAATCTTACCAATTATCCCTTTCTCGACGCATCTAAAGAGAGGGCGAAAATATCTAATGAGCAATGTAGCAAACATGTCCTCCAAACAAAATAACGCGAGTTAGTTGATTTGTTATAATTGTCGCTATGCAGCTACCATTATTGTAAGTGACTTGGGACGGTCTGACGAGTTGCAACTGTTTGTTTTACCGCTACTAGTAAAGTCAAATTGCAATAGCGTAAGTCAATTATAATCTTCTGAAAACAATATAGTTAAAAAGAAAGAAAATCCAAAACGCCATGACATTAGAAAAACACCTATGAGGCTGTAGCTACACGCCGCGTTTGCAAATAACAAAATTTTGAAATTGAGCCGAACGAAACAACGTGTAATTTCACGCGAGAAAGGATTATTTTTTGGAGTAAGACTCCTATCAACTTAAGTGGATAGTGAATAGTGTGTCCACCAAACTTTATATCCACTCATTTAACATATAAAAAGTCACTTCATATCATGCAAGGATCCCTAGGAAACATCCAATGGTTAAAAAGTTTGGTGGATGTCCACTTAAGTGGACACAAGTTTTGTTCTTATTTTTTGCTAGCCCGTTATCTGATAAATTTGGACGAACCGAACGCAGCCCAGATAGAAGCCCGAACCAGAATATTCGGCTAAAGGGAGATGACATGTAAGCCCGTGAGGCCTTATCTCCGCAAGACCGCAGCAGGCCCGACTCCCTTTGTGCTTCTCCTTCCTCCGCCCGATCGAAACCCTAACCCTAATTTTCTCTCTCTCCTCGGTCATCGGCGGGATGTCGCACTTCGGCCGATCCGGTCCTCCCGACATCAAGGACACCTTCTCTCTCCTCGTCCTCAACATCACTTTCCGTAAGTGCCCCTCTCTCCGTCCCTTTCTTCATTTTTCTCCTTCTTTGTTTCCCCTCCGTTTTGTTTCTAATTATGTATTGATTTTTGTGGATAGGGACTTCGGCCGATGATCTCTTCCCCCTTTTCGATAAGTACGGAAAGGTCGTTGATATCTTCATTCCTAGGGATCGCAGGTATATTGATTATCTCTCTCTCTCTCTTTTTTATTAGATTTTTGAGAAATCTCTTTTATTTTTGGGGGATTTTTGAATGATATTTTGTTGATTGAAGGACTGGAGAATCTCGAGGGTTTGCGTTTGTGAGGTACAAGTACGCCGATGAGGCGCAGAAAGCTGTGGACAGACTTGATGGCGAGTTCTTGTTTTCTTTTTTTTTTAATTTTAATATATTTTGCCTCGATGTTATTAGCTTATCAATTTGTTTTACAGGGAGGACTGTGGATGGAAGAGAAATCATGGTGCAATTCGCGAAATATGGGCCTAACGCAGAGCGGATGTAAGTTACGAGTCCTGATTCGCGATTGTTGTGGTTGATTATGGTGATGATGTTTTTCTTCTTTGTTAGTGCAGCCTTTACTAGTTTTGCGTAGATTTTTTGATTGATGTTATTGTCTAGGATTTTGTTTTCTAAAATCGGATAGGTGTTTTTCATTACAATGGTCAAATTAAGAGCTTGATGTAAGCCTCTTTCGACCAATTTTTGCTACTTTTAGTGCTTGGGGAAAAGATCTGGAACCATGATTGTGAGCAGATATTTGTTTTGCTCTTTTCTGCTTAGCAATGATCCTGATACTTGTTTACTTTCCTACCTGTTAGTGCACTCGTTACCCTTTTCACACAGTACATCCATGTTTGTGAGCAGATGTTTGATGGTATTTTTTCGAAGTGGTAAAGTGGTGAATGCTGTTGTTTATATTTATGACAGATTCTGTGTACAACTTCTTTTTAAATTGTAAATTAACAGGAAAAACTGCTGATTTGAACATTGTAGTTTCGTGCTTCGTTGAAACTTAATTGTTGATATATGCCCTGTGGATGTATAACCTTCGGGTGAGTTTTGTCTGTACATTATTGACATGACAAATTAACCATTTGAAATGAACTGCAGTTTTATTGGCGAGTTTTCACCTGTATGCCTGTGAAAAAATAGATTAAAATAACAAAATGGGTCTTGTACTTTTTTGTTGTGACCATATATATTTGTAATTTTTAAACATCGGCTGCTATCTATTTACGTTTCAATACTATTTTTTACATGATTTCTTGCTCAGTTAGATCCTTAGAACTTTGTTAAATATTAAAAGTAATTTTCTCATCTAAAGGGATAGAAGGAAACTCTATACAAAAGATACAAGCATATCAACGTCTTCCTTGTAGAAATAAAGTATCCTAGGAGCCGAACATGGAAATGATCTATTTGTCTGAATTGAATGATTGTTTTAAACTTTTGTTTAAAAATTTCTAGTTATTAATGCTTAGTTCCACAAATAGAATTGCACAAATACAATCACCTAAGCTTGTTAACCAATACGTATTTGCCTATATGCTAGCAGAGTGAGAAAGCTGACCCAAAGATCGGGTTAGATTGCTTGCCTAGATGCTAGCAGAGTGAGAAAGCTGACCCAAAGATCGGGTTAGATTGCTTGCCTAGATGCTGGCCGAGTGAGAAAGCTAACCCAAAGATCAGGTTAGATTGCTTCGAACCTCTATCATATAGAGTTTGATCAATGCAAGACACACCAAACCTCGAGAGTCAGGTGGTTTGTTAGTATGTTATACTTCTCGCCCTCTCGAGAATATTAAGTGTATGCAATCTGCAAGGAAGTTTTTACCTTGTCTCCTGTGCTCAAGAGATAGATGGTTCACCATTGTGTAAAATATATAAAGACAAACAAATAATATATATATATATATATATATATATATATATATATATATATATATATATATATATATATATATATAGAGAGAAGAGAGAGAGAGAGAGAGAGATGATCTTATGTCAACTTAAGTGGATGTCCACCAAACTTTTTAGCCACTCATTTATATTTATAAAAACTCTTCATTATCTTTCATGGATCCCTAGGCAACATCACGGCTAAAAAGTTTGTGGATAACTTTTTGCTATCCACTTAAATTGACACAAAGTTTTGCTCTCTCTTCTCTCTCTTCTCTATATATATATATATATATATATATATATATATATATATATATTCTTATGTCAACTTAAGTGAATCATCTACCTACTTTCTTACCCATTGAGATATGAAGAGACTCTTTATATATATATATATGAGTGGATAAAAAAGTTTGGTGGACAAAGGCTTGCTATCACTTAAGTTTGACATAAGCTCATCTCTCTTCTCTCTCTCTCTCTCTCTCTCTATATATGATATATATATATATATATATATATATATATATAATATATATATATATATATATATATATTATATATATATATATAATATATATATATATATATATATAGAGAGAGAGAGAGAGAGAGAGAGAGAGAGAGAGAGAAACACTTTCGGTTAGACCATAATTTGTTTGAGATCATTACATTCAAACTTACTATTTAGAAGGAAGCACATTGTTTTTCAAAGTAGATTGAGTCGCCACCTACGCCACCGAACGTACTTAGGATGTCTGCCTAGATCTTGGAGGTGTAGGGGCCATTGGCTACTATCATCTCACCACGATCAGTGGGTATATTGCTCGCTTAGGGCATTGTAATGATTGGAGAGAATGACCAAGTCAAGATGGATTGGGTATATTCAAGGCTATTGTAGGTAAAAGATGGTGGTAGGATTTTGAATCTTGAGAAAGAATCTTTCATCTCCTGATGCTAAAAACGCCTAGATTCTGCTTAAGCGCGCGCCTAGGCGCTTGGTCCGGCGCCTAGAAGCGCCTTGCACTTTCTAAAACATTGGAAGCAATTAAACATAACTTTAAAAGTGGAAGTGTACATTGTTTTAGATTCAAAGAACATTTAATTTTATTGAGGACCTGAGGTGACTAGCAATGTGTTTTGGTACCAAGTGAAGAGTGGGATACATTTGCGGATGGTGTTGAGGACCTGAGGTGACTAGCAATGTGTTTTGGTACCAAGTGAAGAGTGGGATACATTTGCGGATGGTGATGCACGGTGGTTGGTGTGTGCATGTGTGGTTGTTCACTCGCTTGTTGGGGAAAGTAAATAGCAAAGTGCACATCAAGATCTCACACAACAAAATTTAGAAGATTTGAGAAGTAAGCACGGGTGTGCTGCACTTGATGATATGATTTTTCTGTGTATTTAGTCCATTCTGTGGCACAGATCATCATTGCCAGTACAAATATGGTCATTGTTATCATCATCATTCTTGATCATATTTGCTGATTTAATCTTTGGTGAACATACTGATTATTATGCATACTCCTGTTTGTAGGAAGATTATTCATAATAGCCTTTTCTGTTAATGTCAAATAAAGATTTATTTTTTTCTACCTGGTTGCAGTCATAAAGGAAGGATTGTGGAAGTTTCGAAGAGGTCCAGAAGCCGTAGCCCAAGACCAAGGTATGTTTTAGGACATAACTTGACTCATGGTAATCCATTGCTCTGCGCTAAACTTACCAATCTTTGTTAAGATGGACTAGCAGCTTTGTACTATTTCTCTAATGTTCGGGTTCCAAGATGTCATTCAATTAATCTTACATCTTGTTTTTTAATACTATCAAACGAAATGCTGAATTGCTGAGAGTGACATTGAATATTACGAGCAAAAGGCCCTCAAACTTTTGTATTGACACAACGATACATGAATGACACTTTTCTTTATTTAGAAGGATATCATATTTCTGATTCCAAAGTAAAAGAGAGATTAAAATTTGAAATTGTTTAGACATTTGGTGTTCATATGCAGTTTTCTTTATGTATTTTGAACTGATGTTTGGCCATAAAACTTGTAATTTGTTGACATGCATCATGTGCACATCAATTGTCACACTCGGGTTTTTGCGTCAAATGATATGGGCACAACCAAATTATAGACCAGAATGAAGTTTTATCTGCCTCTAAAACTTGCCATACCAAATTGATGTTGGGTATGGAAGCTTCTATATATAGTTTCATAGTAAGACAATGGTTGAATTTAAAAAGTACGAATAGTAATGTTATTTCAAGACTTCAGATAAGCATCCATAATAGAATAGTAAGTAGTAGATGTTACACTGACATTTACTATGTTGTAGCACTTGAGGCACTTTTCTAATGTTTCTGTTAGTCCATTTTCAGGTATCGTGGTGATTACAGAGATCGAGATTATAGTAGGCGAAGTCGCAGTCGAAGCAGAGAAAGGTATGGTCGTCACAGGTATCATGATAGGGATTATCGCCGTAGAAGTAGAAGCCACAGTATGAGCCCTGATTATTATAGAGGTCGTGGCAGAGGCAGGTATGATGATGACCGAAGGAGGAGCAGAAGTCGCTCCTTTGACAGGTAAGTTAGTGATATTTATTATCAGCGCTTGAGTTTTTATTTTTCATGAACTGCAGTATTTGTCTTATATGGATTATTATGCACAGTGCTTCCCCTGTTCGACGTAGCCTTAGTCCCCGAAGAAGCTTGTCTCCTCGCAGAACCCCTTCTTCGCCTGATAGAAGCCCAGTTAGGCGTAGCCCTGCTGAAAGATCTCCAGCTTCTCGAAGTGCTTCTCCTCGTGGTCGACGTCGTGATTATCGCAGCTCATCTCCACAGGGTTCCGAGGTATTTACTTTATATGATATTGTCATGGCATCTATCTTGTCATGCATGTTTCAGGGCATTACCTCATAATTTAAATTGCTTGCCAGGATTAATGAACTACTGCCACTGGAGTGCAAACATGCTGACATCTTTCTGGAGGATTTCATGAAAGTTTTATGGTGCTTTTGGGAGCTCTGAACTGATTCTAAGGTTGTGCTTTTTCTGTCATGTCACTGTATGTTGGCTATTAGCATTTTGACTGTGTTGTGGTTGCATTGGTGCAAGTAACTTCTTGTTGAACTCTGAAGACTTTTGTTCTTTATTTGCTTTCTTTGTTGGTTATGTTATGGTTAGTGAATCTTACTTATGATAACATGATTTCCTGCACTTTTTAGTTTTGTACGAGAGTGCGTTCTAGTAGCTGATTGTCCGCAGCCTGTGAGATAATGCAAATGAATGATCTTGCCGATGCTGTTTGTCGTTCTTGATGATGATGATGATGATGATGTTGGTGATGATGATGATTTCCATTCATAGATGATGTTGATGATATTCGATTTGATGCTCCTGTCAGTATCTCGCTGTCCCCATCCATTTTAAGGTTTCTTTTTCTGGGCATGATCCAAGTTAACTAATTCATTATGGTGGTCCTGTGAATGGTAAGGATTGTCTTTAAGAGTCTTAACCCTTTGGTCTTTAGTTTTTACTCTAATCCTGTTCTGGTCGCTGGTGTTTTTATTTTGTGAGCTTGAAAAGGAGTAATTGAGCAGTGATGACCATGCAGCTTCATGTTCTGCATTTTTCATACAATGCGGATGTGTCATCAACCACATCTATTTCTACCCTTTTACATGTGTTGCTGATATGTGAAGGATTCGTTGCTCCATTTACACGCAAGCTTTAAAGGTGAAATACCAAAAAGCCATTTCAGCGTCAGGGATTTGTTGACAGGTCAATATGATCCTCTTTTTTCATATACATGAAAATGGATTGCTATGTCCAGATAAATTATAGCTGTACACGTGCTTTTTACTTCTTATGTTGTGAATTGATAGGATTTTAATTTGAAATTTGTTATCTTTCAACATGTGGCAATGTTGCCCAAGTCGTAGCTGTGAAGTGGGATAGATGGGGGAAAATATAGTGGAAACTGACCTGTTGGCTGCAGGATGCTGTTGCTGTCCTGTGTGACTGCAGGATGTCGTCTGCAGAGAGCAAATGTTCAACTTTCACTGGTTCTGATATTGGTATGACCAGTGTTGAAAATAACGCGTTTCGTAACGCAAAATAACGCATAGCGTAACGTAACGCAAGCTCAACGTTACATAACGTTTGAATATAACGCAAGAACAAAATAACGTAGGTTATTTTCCCTATAACGTAGGTTATGTAACGTAACACTGTAATGTTTAATAACTTAGGTTATTTTGTCAATGGCTTAGATTGCTTTAAAAAAAGAAAGAACGGCTGTGATTTGATTTACTTGTTAACAAAACCCTAGAGGGCCTAAACTAACCCGTCGCCTCCATTTCTCTTGAACACCAGCGAATCCCCCTTCTGATCTCCCGTCGCCTCCATTTCAGCACGCGATCGAAGCCTTTCCGCAGGCATTCGAAGCTCTCCCGCAGGCATTCGAAGCTCTCCCGCAGGCGTTCGAAGCTGTAAGCTTTTTAAAAACTTTCAAAGTTTGGTTGTTGCCTTATTTGAATGAATCTTTGATTTTCTAGTTAAAATTATTTTTGCAGCTTCCTCAGTACAAAGAGGAAAAGAGGTCGCTACTGAAGATGTACCGGTTGAGGATTATGATCCTGAAGATGCAAACATCATTCTGGAGGAGGACGACTTAGTATTTTAGTAGTATGAGCCTATGAGGGCCTTATTTAGTGGAGGATGGCTCATTTTGTAGGATTTATTAAAACTTATGACTTATGAGAATTGCGATGATTATTCATTCTGATTTATTTTGAACGTTATATATCTATAAATTATTTAAATAATAATAAATTATTTAAATAATAATAAATTATTTAACCTACGTTACGTTATGCGTTATCGCTATTGTAACTTAACCGGAGGTAAGCGTTACGTTATGCGTTATCGTTATTTTCAACATTGGGTATGACCATGTTATTTTTCTCATTTTGTGTTGATTCGTAACATTTTATTTACACTTCTGCCATAGTAACTGAGACTAGTTATGAGAAATTCTGATTACTAATGGGTTGCCATCCTTAGCCTAGATTGCATATGCTTGCTTGCTTATTAGCGATGTATTATGAGAAATGTGTAGGTTTGTGTATTTTTAGCCAATATTTGTAAGACTATTTGTGAATGTTGCGGTGTATCCTGTGTAGAATTTCCGATATAGATAACACGCTAAATTATTGAATGTGGTAGAGCTTTAGATAGCTTAGTGTGGTTTCAGTCAAACCTTGTCTCCGTGACCCTGAGCCCGTATCACTTGACAGGTGAGTATTGCTGCAATAGATTGGTATTGTTTTAGGATCTTTGTTGTGCATGAGAGTTGGCGTGCATTATCTCTATTAATACCAACATCTTCTAGTCAATAGACCTGATTTTTATGTATACATTGTGTAGATTCACACTTTATGAAAGAACCCCAACTGTGGCACTTTTCTATCATGCTAGTTTCTCATTCTTTCTTTGCTGCTAGTTACATTTTCTTTTATTAACCATCATCACTTCTGATATTTTTTTTGGATACCTGAGTTTCAAATGTTGGTTAGTTCAGGGTACGACTTTGTTGTCTCTACTCTGGTCCATTGTTTACTTGAATCTTGGAAGTCCAGGAATATAAGCTCTGTACGTAGGTTACGCAGACACATTGTTCTGGGTGCCGTGTCCTTGTCCTACACATGGCAGACACAGATTCACCACGGACATATCATGGACACTTGGTGGTTCAAAGCAAAACCTGATTTCCCCGTGTTTATAACTCTGAACTGGTTTTTTTGGTATATTGGGTTTAAAACCAATAGATTTGAACCCAAAAACAGACACACCTATCTACTTAAGATTTGAAAATTTCCAATAGTATCCCATATGACCAAAATCAAGCTGGTTTTACCTTTACTTTTCCGTTTCCACTTCCATCTTCTTTGAACGGTTGAACCTAAAAAGGAAATGAAGGTCTCCATTTTTAGTTGCTTGGTGACGACAGAAGATCTGAATCCTTTGTTTGAGTTAGCTTAATTCCAGTGTTGTAAATAGCGGCCAATAGCGAGGCTATAGCGGCGCGAATAGCGGTCGCAGCCCTTCAGCGCTACGCGTAGGGGTTTCGCGGCTGGCTTAAGTGGGAAAATCCGCTATTCATTCGAATAGCGCGTAAAAACGGATTTTAGCGGGTTAAAAACGGGTTTTCGCGGTTAGAAGCGGATTTTCGCGGTTAAAAGCGGATTTTTGTTGTTAAAAGCGGCTAAACCCGCTATCACACATATTATGATGTTATATTTCTTGAATTTCTTCATAGTTTCATTCATACAACAAGCTTATTAATTGTTATTTATTGATAATACAAGAAATTTACAACTAATTGAATTTTTAGATTTTTTATGAATTTTCTTATTATTTAAGATATTTAAATATATTTAAATTTGACCGCTATTTGACTGTGCGCTATTTGCCGTGATTTCACCGCAATAGCCCGATATAGCCTTAGCGGTCCCTCGCCGCGACGCGTCGCGATCCGCTATCAGCAACCTTGCTTAATTCTTATTTATTATAGATAATAAAAGAAAATATAAGTGTTAGGTATTTTAATTTGATATTTGATCTAATGTAAATTATTACTATATAGTTGTTTCCCTGTATCCTATATTTACAAATCTATTGTGGCCCATGTCCGTGTCCGCACCTGTATCTATGCAATCTAGCTTGGATTGTTTTGGATAAGATTTCGATCCAATGACTCAGATTCACTGATGTTTACTATAAATAGGGGTAGAGAATAAGGGGTGGGGGTGTGAAAAATTTTGTAACTCTATTTGGAGAGGAGGGTTACTCTTAATTGAGAAGACTTTTCAATTTTGTAACTTTTTATTACAATCAATAAAAGAATTTTTTCACCTCTTTATATTTTTCTTTTCTTCTCTTTGTTTGATGATGATGATGAAGATGAAGATGGGATGAAGATGAAGATCAAGAGTGAGGTTTGCTTTCATCTTGAGGCTAGAACCCTCTTGGGTGGTAAATGTCCTTTGTTAATATTTTTATCCTTTTGTTTTCTTGCTTAAATAGCCAAGATGCTAGAACTCTCTTGCCTTAGATTTATTTAATGCTTATAGAGTAGATTTATTTTCTCGCATTTAATTCTTGTAATTTATTTTGTAGTTTATTTTTTGTAATTTATTTTGTAGTTAGATTTTATTTTCTAGCACTATTCACCTTGAGACTAGAACCCTCTCGAGATTAGTTTTTCATTTTGTTCATTTTCATTTTCTTTGATTAGCCTTGAGGCTAGAACCCTCTCGAGATTAGTTTTTTATTTTGTTCATTTTCATTTTTTTTTTATTAGCCTTGAGGCTAGAACCCTCTAGGGAATTGTCATTTTTTAAGAAGTGGATTCAATGATTCCTCATATCTTTAATTGAATCATTCATCTTTATTTTCTTGAATTTTCTTTTTATTCTTGATTTTTTTATTTCTTTATTTTATTCATCTTTCTTTCTCTCCTTGTGAAAATCATTCATACTTTGTCACACCCACTCTCACTTATATTTTGTGCCTATTTACACACTATCACCTTCACTATCTCTCCACAATCACATTCACTCATCACTCCTATTTGTCTTGCACACAACATAAGAACTAATTTTAATTTTCTCCTACAAAACACCTTCCTCGTGGGATCGATAACTTTTTATACTATAACTTGATTGTGCACTTGTAATTTTTTGGTATATGTTTATGTCGCACCAAGTTTTTGTATGTACACATCTTCAATTTACGAGAAGTGATTGAGATCTTGAACGTATGCGATATACGAGTTGAATCTTACCAACGAAACTATATGCGATATACCAGTTGAATCTTACCAACGAAACTATATGGGAAATTTATTGTTTTGCTCTTACTTTTTTTTAATTACTGTGTTCCATTGAAATGTAATATAGGCTTTCATTGGTTTGTTCGAAGTGGTGTGTAAATTATTGTTGGGAAGTTGATAGATGTATCTTGAAACTTTGACTGAATATATAGATGTTGTATTAGAAATTAAAAGGCTACATGAAGCACTTAATAAAGTGGGTTTTTTTTTTGGGTCTGGTTATTATTGTTATTATTATTATTATTTTATTTTATTTTTTTTGTCTTGCGTGATGATGATGCTTGGTACTGGTTGTGGTGTTCAATGTAACGCAGATTAATATAAACGAAGCAGATTATCCAATTTTGTCACGCCATGCAGTTTGGAAGACACGTGACTTTATATCACTGATAGTATCAGTCATATCGCGAGTGTTACTCCCTTGCGACTCTCCCGGAGTAACCCAAACCCGGGCAGCACGAAAGAGATTAAAAAAAATATTGGATCGTGCCCTCCGATGTTGTCATAATCTAATTCATTAACGGGGCGGCAAGATTAGCTTGCTCTCTGACGAAAGGTAGTCCCATTCAGGTGGCATTACTAATAAGCAATAACAATAGGGTTACTAAAAAAAATTTTTTTTGACCCCTTTGGGATTTCATGCTAGTGCATAGTTCATAGGTAATTGTTTGTTAATTGATAATACATATATGAACCAGGTATGTTCTCTCAAATCCATATATCCATATATTATATAGGGAAAATTGCTTCTGGCTTCAACTTTCCTTACAAGTATTCCGCCCACCCCAAGAGTTTTTACACACTCCCAAAACCCTCAAAAGCAAAGCCACAATTCTCTGAGCCCAAAACACAAAATCCAAGAGTTTAAAATATGTGAAGACCAATACTCTCTCTCTTTTATGATGTCACCGTGATGATTTGAAATGGGGTTTTGGGAGGAAATTCTAGTTCCCTTTAAAATTTTCTCACGGCATCGATATCGGCGATGAAATTTCTCGAAGTTCA